GCCTCGGTGGGGAGCTGCTCCTCGCCCCCGGCAGGGCCCGGGCGCCGGGTGGACAAACGGGCCCTTTATTCCCGGCGTCCCGTTAGGGACTCGTTGCTGCACCTGTTCCCGATTCCGTTTTAATTTGATTGGATGCCTAATAATCACGATCGCTTCTGCCTCGACGTGCGTGCGTTCCTAGTTGCGATGGAAGTGTCTCGCGCTAGCTCCTAAAGCTGTGTTTACCTTTTTCACGGTTGCGGGGTGTGTCGGTAATCGTAATCATCCTGGCGTTGAAAAATTCTCCTGGGTCTTTCTCCTTTGTTGTTTCTGACAGCAATGGTTGAGTTTCCATCTGTTAGGAGACGGTCTTCCTAGGGGTCCCTAAGCATGTGACCTTACTTTTTTATTTTATTATTGATTCTCATCCTGCTGCTGCTATCAAGATCATCCTATTCTTTATGATACCATGATCAATTATGATATTAAACTTCTGGTGATTAAGAACTTGGTATTGAGTACTTTATCAGCACTTGCTAATACATGCATTTTTTTTTTTTTCTATCGGAGGAAGGGGATAGTGGGGTAAAGTGAAAGGGGCGGGAAGAGGAAGAAGAGAAGCCGTTTCCAGCATTTATAGCGTCGCATGCCCGGATAGCCTTTGGGAATCCTGAAGACCAACGTGGGGCTGCAGCTTAGGCAGAGCTGCTTCACGTGCGGGGCCAGAGCAGTGCTTTGAGCTCACAGCTTGAGAATGATTGTATTCTTCATCTACTGCCTTTGCCACTGTGGAGCGTTTGCCTTAGCGAAACGGGAAAACCTGTTGCTTGAACCATTTAAAACAGAGTGAAAAAGTAGATAAGGGGGTATAAACCCGAAGCCTTTTCTGGCCTTTAGGCTGCCCTAGTATGAGTTTATGGATTTTATGTAACAGTACACTCCCTAGAAAATTAAAATAAAGCGGTCAGTCTTGATGCTTATGTTGAAGTCAAGGCATTGAGTAAAAGTTCAATGTGGTATCTTTTTTTCCTGGTAAACACATGACCTGTTGTGTGGACTGATAAAATGACATTTACTATTTAAGAAAATGAACACAACCCAAACACCTTTTACTGAGGTTGCACCAGATGTGGTTTCACATAGCATACCAGCCTTACCCGGAGAGCTGTGGTGTAGACTTTCTTCAGCTATTAAATGAATCTGTTGGTGTAATGAGGAAATCTATGGACTGCTCCCAGCTTCTCTCTTACTTTTGCTTGTGCTCATGATATGACTTGCAGAAGAAAGGCATTTTATTTATAGCAGAGGTAACTGTTACGCGTACATCTGTTGTCAGGTTTTTTTATTATTGTAAGTCACTGTGGTTTCAGTCATGATAACTATGAAGCTGTAGCTCTTGTGGACTGATAAATGGACTGATACGGACTGGTAGTAGAGTCAATACTTTACATAAGCTTGGATAAATTTGTATGCATTGCAGTTTCAGATATGAGTTAGTTCCCTCTCTTAGAAACTTGCTCCTGTTGCCTTCTTTCTCACCAGCAGAGGTCTAGCTAACATACCAATTTCAAAACTGGAACAGGGTAAATCTCTGTGGCTGACGGCACGTCAACAGCATGTTTTGATAACTGGTTTTGTCTGTGAGTTCCTCTAGATGTGATTTCCCTGCCATACCTGACCAGTGGGACAGATGGGATTGTATTAGGAACTAGAAGTTCAGAAACAATTGGAGAATCAGTAATGAAGGGTGATGAGCCATCAGCAGATGGCTGTGTCGGAATCAGGAAAACTATGAGCTCAGTGCATTATGTGGAGCCTGTCCCATCGGGGCATGTAAGAAGCTCACTGAAGACAATATGATTTTTCATACACCTACAACTAAGCGTGCTGAACCATACCAGTGTTGACATCTGGTAAATCAATACCTAGTCTCAGATTCTCAGACATAATTAGCAGCCAAGTATCTCGGGTTTTATGTACCTTAAGAAAAAGAGCAAGGCCAGTGAGGAATGGACTGTGCCGAATAGGAGGACGCTATTACATTCTGTTAAACATTACACTTATTTAATATATGTTGGAGAAATGAAAGGCACAAAAGAATAAAAGGTGATGCTGTAGATTAAAAAAAAAATTAGCTATTGTGCAAGATCATAAAGCTTACTGTAAAACACAGTTGTTCACTACAAAGCGTTTTGAGGACAAAAATGGAAAAGCCTTTCTAATACATTTCACCATTATCTCCTAGGTGCTTTTGTTAAATCAACCTAGAAAATAACAGGAAGCGATTAAATAATGCTAAAATAACATTTGAGGTGATTACCCAGCAGACATCCTCTTGCCCTTTAATCAGCTCTATGCACTTTGAAGAGCAGTTTAAGAAAGTGGTGGGCTATCAGCAGGGAGGTCTTGT